ATTTTTGCACATACCTGCTGTTGACTTACTCTATGTACGAACAATGAAAATACTTTCAATTAAATATCAGGAGTATAAGTACGGTCAGGGGAATGTTAGTTTTATTTTATTGTTCTGCATTGATTTGTACATGTTATTGTAAGGTTTCGTTATAATTGTACCGAATTTTCTGAGGTAAGTTTAATTAAATGAAGATATACCTTTTACGAAATGCATGTCGACACTTGAAAGGCAAACTTGACTAAGCGACAATAACTGCTATATACATAAATGATAGGCAATAACCATATTTGATGCGCAAAAAAAATATATTTCTAGGTCTATTAAAATCATTTCAATCCTAGAGCTAGATTCGTTAATAGTACGTTGTGCACCAAGGGAGAAAAGTTGGACATTTCCTCCCGCGTGTAAAACACGTGGCAGGAAATGTCCAACTTTTCTCCCGTGGTGCACATACTATTTTTTCTCCTACCAGGCCGAAAGTTCGTGGACTACCGAGCCGGGGTCCAGGGGCGAAGCCCTGGCGGGGGTAGGGGTGCTCTACGCGGCGCACTGAAGTAATTATGTCGATTTCTGTTACTAAGACGCCGTAATATCTAGTAGACTCTCGGAAAGACGAATCAGAAGATATTGAGAATGAATCTATTTCTAAGAGACCAAAAGGTTTAATACTTACATTAACAAACAAAAGAAGGCAAAGTTAGGCATTCCAGGAGCCTTAGTAACAGAAATCGACACCATTACTTCAGTGCGCCGCGTAGAGCACCGGTGACCTACGTGTCAGTGAAAGGGTTAAGGAAAGTTTAAATGTATGATTGTACTGATCTATTAAAGCCTTAAGACATGTGCACAGAAGGTGCTGAACTATCATAATAAGATACGACTTTAGTAACATACTAAAATAACTAACAGATGGAATATTCGTTTTAAAATTTAAAAAATTATAATTAGCTATAAGTTATTGCAATTATGCTGTTCTCGTGTTGTTTTAAGTCAATTATAAATATGATGCTAATCGCCGCTTGAGCCTTTGTAAATCCGAAAATAATGTATTTTAAATTAATATATTACTTATTTAATATAACAGAGACCTCAGAAATAATGTAATGATAACGTAAGATGCAACGTAGTTTTAATAAAATAACGTATTTGTAATTATTTGTGATGGAATGGTATTCTATGTTTGTTTTGCAATGATTTAGTTATATTCATTGTCCAGCTTTTATGGAATTTCTACATCAACTTCAAAAATAATCTGCAAATGTAGCAGTAGGTATGTGACCATAAGGATCATAGTAGGTACTAGTAGATTGATATCGTCTGGATATCTGTTTATTTCGCCGTTACTTGTTTTGTTAGGTGAGAGGTGCGTCAATATAAAAATTATGTATGTCGGCTAGAACGTCTTACCGGACTTTACCATTTAAGTGCGATTTTCGAAAAAACCCTACTCCTAATATACGAATCTATCATAATACAGAAAACATGTACAAACTTTTATTTATATTTATTTATAACGAATCAATAAAATGTTCAATATAAATAGTACACGTACTGAACCTATTGTCGGGTAAGTTATTTTATTATATTATGACATGTTATAAATATTAAATATAGATAGACCCAATGGAAATTAACATGGTTAAAATAAATGACTACTAAGATAATTGTAGCATTACGTTAGTTATTCACGCAGTGTATTACGTAAATCAGTGCCATCTATGTCAAATTTTGAAATACCAACTCAATGTGTAGTTAAATATAGAACAGAAATACGTATTTTACTAAACTGATATTAGATGATGTGTGAATTATGTATGTACCTACGTATTGTATAGATAACTACTTTGATGTTTTAGTGTCGTAAGTTATAGTTAAATGAAAAACGTTTAAATTCTTTTTTTTAACAAAAAGCATACTTGGCTGTAAATTATTATACAGCACCCAAAAAATTTATTTAAATTATTAATTCAAACTATATTATGATTTCTGCTGTTGTAAATAAGATTAATAAAACTTGAGTCAGATGACAAATAAATCTCACATGTGCGCTTGCTTGTGTTCTTTTGTGATATATAATGTGATTTTATGTGATATTTCAAGGTGTGTTCTAGAATTTAGGTTGTGATTTCTATTTGTACTATCGAATATTATACTAACTAATTTAGCCATCGAAAATAACGACACTGACATTGTTTTTGAAACCTAACCGGCTTATTTCGATCTTACGATTTCCATCTCTGATATGTAATTTCCAAAATTCTTAATAGAACATTCATAAATACACAATGGTACATTAGCAAACAATATAACATTACTTAGAAAAAAATAATATTGAAAGGTACTTATACATAATAATAGGTTGGGGAAATAATAATTGGTTTTGGCAGTCCTCTCATGATGTTAACCTGACACTGCCTAAAGAATTCTGAAGAGACCGAAACAAGTGGAAATCTGAAGGTGCAAGGTCAGGACTATACGGCGGGTTTATTAACACCTCTCAGCTAAACTCTCTCAATTTTTTCTGAGTGGCTAAAGATGTGTGAGGTCTAGCGTTATCATAATGAAAAACCACACCCCTTCTGTTGATTAATTCCAGCCGCTTTCTCTCAACTTTTTGCCTTAATCTCATCGGTTGTTCGCAGTAGAGTTTAGAATCGATGGTCCTGTCTGCTGGTAACAGCTCATAACGAATAATGCTCTTCCAAACCCACCACACACACAGCATCACCTTGTTGCGAGTTAACCCGGGCTTCGCCACAGTCTGTGAAGCCTGACCGGCCTTTGTCCACGACCGCACGTTCGCACGTTCTTGTCGTACGTGATCCACTTTTCATCACCAGTTATCAGTTTCTTCAAAAATGGTTCGGTTTCATTACGTCGTAATAAAGAATCACAAATGAGTACACGGTTTATTAGGTTTCTTTCAGTGAGCTCGTGAGGTACCCAAATATCGAGCTTTTTTGTGTACCCAGTTTTTTTCAAATGCGCTAAAACTGTTTTGTGGTCAATTCCCAGTTCTTCAGCTACGTCGTAACCACTGATAAGCTGAACTTGCTCCACTTTTTCAAAAATGGTATATATTTTATCCGTAATAATAGCGCGACCAGAGCGATGTGCATCTTTGACATCAAAATTTCCGGATTGAAAACGCTTAAACCAAATTTGTGCTACTCTCACAGACACTGCACAAGGTCCATAAACATCGCAAATTTTTTCCGTAGGGACATTTTAAAATGTATCGAATTTCTTCATTAGATTCACTCATCTTGACAGCACGAAAAATAAATAATGTGTAATTTACACATTTTCCTAATTTGAATTTGGAATTCTCTTCTTTAAAATTTAAACTTTTAATGATACCAAAATCAGCCATATACAAATAGTATAGCCAAAGAGATTTTACTACAAGTTCGTACATACTATAATACGAAAAGACTTTTTCCCCAACCTATTATATACATCAATTTATACATAGTACATATAATTTTATATCAATTTAATTTCTGTTACATTTTAAAATTAACATGTATTAGTGACATTACACTGTGCAGTATGTTCGTGTTGTCGCCACTGGTCCCGCTGAAAACCAGTACTAGTTGATGAGTAATCAGCATTATCGGGATTCGGGATTGGATTCGAGGTGAAGGACGAACGAGTATACTTTTAATTTAAAATATTAACGCTTTCGCTATTATCGGTGACTATAGTCACCTGCCACAAAACGCTGCCTGTACACGATGGGCGACACTATAGTCACATGCTACAAAACGCTGCCTGTACACGATGGGCGACTATAGGCACCGGCTGAAAAATGCCGCCTGTACACGATGGGTAACTATAAGCACCGGCTGAAAAATGCCGCCTGTACCGATGGGTGACTATAGGCATCGGCTGAAAAATGCCGCCTGTACCGATGGGTGACTATAGGCACCGGCTCAAAAATGCCGCCTGTACACGTTGGGTGACTATAGGCACCGGCTAAAAAAGTCGCCTGTACACGATGGGTGAAGTGCGCTCTTTCAGAGCGGATTCTCCGCTTCCTGCGATACATTTCGCAGCGAGGCATGTCTTAACGAAAAGGTTAATCACGTACTCATTTATTACATATACATTATATTTTTAAATATACTTGTCTTTCACACTGTCTTTTTTTATTTAAATTCAAATTTATGAATTAGATGACAGTTAACTTAATATTAAAGCCAAGAATATCCAGGACCACGAAAAGTAGTTTTCGATACGTCCAAAACTTATTCTAACAGTCAACTAAGTCAATAAAGTTTTATGTATGTACATAATAAACAAAACTTCTTTGTATTAATGATGAATGCAATGGAACGCTCTTGTGTATTTAATGTATTTTATATTACAGTGCATATTCATTATACTCTATGAAATGTTATTATACCATATTTGTCTATGGTCAGAATCCTCGATGAGGATTGCCATGTATTTCTGAACTTGATGTTAATATTAACAGAAATAGAATATAAATTATATATTTTTAAATTCATTGTTGAAGTAACTACGGATATCATGGATTGTTAATTGAGCCTAGATTTCTTTTCTTATTTTATAAAATTTACAAGCATGCATACTTGACGTCGATGACTTGTTCGGTTGGATAATAAGTTAGCATTTTTTTAAACCTATGGTTGTAAATCATTTGTCCTAATATATAAAATATACAGGTTATTAGTTATTAGAAAAAACTGATAATATAAAATAAAAGATACTGAAGCTGTAAAATGATAATATGTAAAAGTGCTTAATTAAATAAATGAGAGATTAACAAACAAATATTTTCATTTTTCTTTTATTTAAACTTACATAGGATACGTTTATCAAAAAAAACTCAAGTTTTGCCTTTAAAATGAATGATTGATTCCATGAAATCGTTTTACACAGAACTTGGATGGGTTCGATTCGCCATGCATATTTTCTCAAAAAATATATACCATGGACGTATTTTTATAAATTGCCTGTTTTTTTTTCAGATACGGACCTAGAAATAGTATTCCACCACCATCATATCCACCTATAGGTGTGAAAACAATAGCTCCCATGGGCGGTATCCCGATTCAAGCTGATCAACCACCTGGCTATCGAGGGCGTTATGACATGCCACCATTTGAAGACATTCCTCCTGGTCTGGAGCCACCTGTACCAGGATTTGAACCATCGCCTTTTGAGAAACCGTCTTTTGGACCACCAGTTGGACTTGATCGTGAAAGATTACCACATCCAAATTACAGAGACTCGTATAGACCTCCAGCTTACGTCGAAGGCCCACCTCCCTTTAGAGACATACCAATAGCCGTTGGTCCTACAGAAATTCCAGTACACGTTGGTGAACAATCTCGCTATCGAGATAATTTTAGACCAGGACCTTATCGTGATCAAGGTTCAGTACCTTTTAGGGACGGGCCTCCTTATAGAGAATCAGGATCACAACCCCCTCCTTTTAGAGATCCTAATTACAGGGGTGCTGCACCATTTCGTGATAACTCTTATAGGAGTGCTCCGTATAGAGATAACACATTTAGAGATAATCCACCTCATAACAACTTCCGTGATGGCGTGCCTCCGTTTAGACAATCTAGTCCTGAGTCTAATGTTCATCATGAATCAAACTTTCGTGATGCTTATAGAGACGATAATATTGTGCCTAATCGACCTGGGTATCGCTCTAATGTTCGTAGTAGAATTGGACCTAGGCGTGACCCTAATATTGAACATGAAAGACACAGAGACAGAGAAGGACGAGAGAGAGATAGATACGCTGATAATCGAGATCCTCCTGAAAGGAATGATCGTATTCGTAATTCTGATAGAAGACCGGGGTATGACAAGAGTAGAGAAACGCGTGATGATCGTCGCGAAATTGAAAGAAATAGAGAGTCTGAAAGAGCTCGCGATCACGAAAAAACTCCTGACAAGAAAACTAGAACTTCTCCAAAACATCGGGACTCGCGCGATAAAAAACGCAGTGAATCAAGAGGTCGATCTAGGGATCGCGAGCGCGATAGACGCGAGAAGAAAGAAGATAGAACTCGTGACAAGACTTCCGCTGATAGAAGTAAAGATCATAAAGAAAAAGAGAAAAAGCTCAAAGAGCGGAAGAAGAAAAAAAGGGAAAAAGAAAAAGAGAAAGATATCGAAAAGAAGAAAAAGCGGGATAAGAAAGAAAAGAAGGACAAAGACGTTAAAAAAGAAGATGAGGATCCTGAGAAAAGTGATGTGAAAGACGCCATAGAAAAACAAAATGAAGTATCCAATTTACTAAGAATTGAGAAGCCGGTTGAAATCAAAGAAGAAAATAAAAATGTCGAAGAGACGATTCCAACAACTAATTCTCCAAAAACTGAACAAAAAGATAAAGTTGTGTTTGATGATTTATATGGCGATGAAGTCGTGGGAGCTGTTGATAAAGAGATAATACAAACTTACGTCAAAAATGATGTCAACGAATCGGTACCTGAAACCAATAACTCGGACATCGTGACCAAGGAAGAGCCCTTTGATGGAATCGAATTGCAGGCTAATGCTGATGAGTTGGATTTAAAACTGGAAGAAAGTAATGGTCAAAATAGTAAAGAAATGTTAGCCCCTTTGCCCGAATTGTCTAAATGGGAAGTAGATGATGAATCTGCTGACAAAAAAGAAGGTGAAGTAATGTCTCCTAAAGAAAAGGCAGACGGCACNGACATCGTGACCAAGGAAGAGCCCTTTGATGGAATCGAATTGCAGGCTAATGCTGATGAGTTGGATTTAAAACTGGAAGAAAGTAATGGTCAAAATAGTAAAGAAATGTTAGCCCCTTTGCCCGAATTGTCTAAATGGGAAGTAGATGATGAATCTGCTGACAAAAAAGAAGGTGAAGTAATGTCTCCTAAAGAAAAGGCAGACGGCACTAAAGTGACTTCAGATGTTATTAAAAGAGCTGAGAATGCAATTTTCGCAAAAGCAATTCATTCTTTGAAACCCATAGAAATAAAGAAAATTAGCGGGGATCGAGTTAAGCTCTATGATGATGAGGCTCCAAAATCTACAATGAATAATATTCAGATTACTGTTCCAGTTACAGAAATGGATCATAGATCTATAGAAGTAAATGAGAAAAAGAAAGCTCATTCTAAAACGCCACCTCCTAGGTTGTCTGTCAAAGAAAGATTAGGAGGGAAAGTGGACGAAATTAGAAGAAATAGAGAAGCTCGTGTTATTCACAGTACAGTAGAGAGAGTAAAATCTCGCTCTAAAACACCGAAGAGGGAAACTCAGCATTATCGCAGAGTAACGGTTGAAAAGGACAGGAATAGAAAAGGAGACGCATTGAGACCGGTATCGGGTAAAGGCGATAGAAGAGTATTTTCAGAAAACGTGAAAGTCGAAAAACAACACTTTACTTCAAACGAGAAAAGAGAAAATATTGAAAAGGGAGTAGAATCGCGTGACAGACAAGAAAAAAAATCAGATCCTAAAGTTTCACATCATGAGAGAAAAAAATCAACATTGGACGAAGCTCATTTTGAACCAGACTATGATGAAACTGTAGAGTCTGAAACTGAAACGAAAGAAGAACCTCCTAAAAAACGAGACTATATGTCGCTCAGTGATAAATTGAGTGATAAAATGAATATTAATTATGAAAATAAGAAATCTAAGCTAGATGTTGAATCATTAAACTTGGTGAATTTAAAAAGAAAACCTGAACCTGAAACTGACTCTTCCAGTGATTCAGACGACTCGTCATCATCTTCTTCGTCTGAAGAACGAAAAAGAAAGAAGAAAAAGAAACGTGCTAAGAAGAAAAAGAAACGCGCTGCAAGTGACAGTGACAGTGATTCTGATTCTAGTTCAGATGATCATAAGAAAAAAAAGAAAAAGCGTAAACACAAGAAAAAATCCAGCAAGAAGAAGAAAAAGTCTAAACATAAGTAAATAATGAATCTTTTGCTCTTAATTAGTTTAAGCATAGTCGTTATGTGTGTTTGTATTTACTGCTATGGAAATAGAAGATTTCGTTTTTTTTTGGTAGAATAGATAAATATTATGTTATCGGTTTACACCAAAAACATATAACAATAAATTTCTTCATATAATATAATGGTTTTTTTAATCAAAATATGTGCAGCACGATCTTATCATTAAAGTTTTTGAGTAGATGGGCACACACGCCTTGCGTGGTGTGTTTATCAGAACTCATAAATGTATTTCGTCTAATTTGAGATACGAGGTTGAAGTCTCGAAGTCGATGCATCATGGATATTCCATCCTTTAAACAGAAGCGCCTGATTACCTATCGGAGTATAGAGTACCTAAAGACGCGGGTACTTACCATACCATACCACCAATATAAAATAAATAAAAGCTTCATTTTTCTTTTTAGAAAAGATTCGGTCATCGTCGCAGTCGTTCATGCGAAATTATTTATTTAAAAAAAAACAACATTAGAAAATGGTTGTCTGCCTGTCAGATTTGAACTCTGGCAATAGTTGCATGGCTTAAAACAACTCCGCTGGGCTTATTCTTTAGGCCACGCGCACTTCAAATCAGCGTTTTAGTAAAGACGATTTCAAGTTCTCACAGTTCTTAGTCATTCACAGTTTTGTGATAAAATTTAAGTTCTGTTAATAGCCTTGTATTGATTGAATTATGTCAAAATTGGAATAATTTCTCTAGAAGTTCAAATTCTGGAACGTTATTTTTTGTGTACCTACATAGAATTGTGTTAATTGATTAGTTTCAAGTTCCATATTTTAAATTTAATAGGCTTGAAAGGTATTGCTATTAAAGGTATAGTCACATTTTTAAGCAAATCAAAGTTCATTGTAATAACTGGCTAGTGAAGAACCCTAGATAGAAAATCGTAAATGATGTCATCTTGGGATATGACAGCATAATTAAAATAATTTGATTAATTAAGCTAATAGCGAATATACCTGTTCTTAAAATCGGAAAAAAGAATTACTCTAAAGAGAGAAATAGCGTGGTGTTCATTTATAACGCGATCTCACACTATCAGTGGTAGTACCATTTAACACCAATAAGTGCAGTTTTTTATTAATTTATTATAGGTATATGTAGCTTATATTGCTAGTGTACCTTATATAATACTTATAACTATTTCGCGCCTATTTAGACTTCGGAAGATTTTGATGTACTTTCATCTACATTATCTAAATTACACTGATCTCATTTGTCTATAAAACCCAGAAATACACTAGAGAAAAACTTGAGCCACATTCCAATTGTAATAGCACGGAGTAGGGTAAAATATTATTAATAATTGTTGTTCCATTTTAAAAGCATTTATTAAAATAATTTAAGTAGATATATACAAATATTAGATTAAAAAAACAATAGATTATTTTGAGATACACATACATTTTTTAATCTACCGCTTCCTGCGATACCCGCCGATTAGAGAATATAATACGTGATGGAACCAATTCTTCCTCTTGAGTTTACGTTCGGATTTGGCGTCTCGTCGGAACGCTCGCCATTCCTCACGTTTCTGAATTTCTCTTGGACCATATGTGTCTTTTTTGAGGAACGAACGCTTCACGGTCTGTAATATAGCAGAGTTGTTTATTATCTTTTAATAATGATCAATGGATTGCAAATCTTATAATAAATGAGTCGACTATTATCAAAGCCGGCAATCTGACTTTTGGTACAGTTGGTTGGTTTTGGACAATTATTGGTAAATCAGAAAAACGAAATATTGACTTTGTATTCCATTGGCAGTCACAAAACTCTTCGGAACGACATCTTAGATAAATAACAGGTTAACTATTAACCTTTATTTAATGCAGGTTTTGAACCGTATTCTTTGAAGGAGACGATTATATTCAAATAAATCTGTATTAACATATCAATAACATTTTTTTGTCCAAATGCACAGATTGCCGCCTTTGATAATAGACGACTCAAATATCCTTCATCACATCGAAATTCATGTTTATAGGCACACGTAAAATTAACACTTTTTTTTTTATTGCTTAGATGGGTGGACTAGCTCACCTGGTTTTTTAAGTGGTTACTGGAGCCCATAGAAATCTACAACGTAAATGCGCCACCCACCTTCAGATATAAGTTCTAAGGTCTCAAGTATAGTTACAACGGCTGCCCCACCCTTCAAACCGAAACGCATTACTGCTTCACGGCAGAAATAGGCAGGGTGGTGGTACCTACCCGCGCGGACTCACAAGAGGTCCTGCCACCAGTAATTACGCAAATTATAAATTTGCGGGTTTCATTTTTATTACATGATGTTATGTCTTCACCGTAACTTAACAGCGTTGGACCTCTTACCTCTATAAATGTTCCAGATCTATATTTCCAAAGTGCCAGAGCAATAAATATTGGTATAAGTACCATTCCGGCATACTGCAGCGCGCTACCAGCAACTGTTAATAAAACACACAAAAAGTGTCATCGCAAAGAAAAACTATACTTATAAAATATATCTATACTAGGTACTACTTATACCTACTATAATAATATAGGTACTTATAATTTTGTTCGAAGCTACGATAATGATCTTAATACGATTCTCGCGTCACGCCAATAGCACGATTTTCTCGGTTGGTGTCTCGACTATAGTTATTGGATCAATTATTTGAAAAAATTTGACACTTGTGATTCATTAACCAAACCAAATGCAATTGTGTATATCCAATTTGGAATAGGAATGGATATCCGTCCGTAAGGACAAATAGGTCAGGTATGCATATTTCAAAGCCGTGTTCACACAAAACTTTTTGGATAGCTTATACTAAAAGTAATTTAAATATCAATAATCTGTTGATATCGATAATCTGATTGTTTCTGTTTTGTTGTGGGTCTTTAATTTTCTATGTGGATGCATAAGTGTATTAACCGTAAACATTCCAAAGTATGGAACCTTTTATCGTTTCATTGTTCGTAATTAAGTGAATTGAATCAAGATAAATCAATATTCTCAAACAATTATGATGTCTGAAGAAACAGAAAAGAATGTGTATACTAACTGTAGGCTCCTCTCGGATATACATAAACATTTCCGAACAGTAGAGCTTCTGTGGTGATGAGAGCGTAAATAAACACTACAATCATAATAACTGGTGTTACAATGGCCCAACAAATACGCCAGTAGAACGATGTCTTTATGTTTAACATGAATTCAATGTCAACACATAGGTTCTCCAGACCTGTAATAAATATTAACTACTTAATAATTTCCTTGCTAAAGTAATTTTTATATTAATATTTAAAATAAAAGCTACGTTTGATATGAAATGTTAAAATAAAAAAAGAGTATTAACCGTAAATCCAGAAAACTCCAATAGTTTCAGTGATAGCCGCGAACAATCGCATGAATGTTCCTCCGTAGTAGTCTACTAATTCTAAAATGTATTGTCCTCCCTGGAATGAAACAAACATTCTGAATAATCTGTTATTACCATCCATTAAATAACTAATCTGTTAAATCTGTATTAGCTTAGTTACCGGTGTCACATAAATAAGTCCCACAAGGAAACCTATAGTACATGTTGTAGCCGACATGTAAACCGTGGGTACTCGCGGAAACGCATCCAATAACACAGTATTGACGGTGGAGAGTAATGCTACGCCAGAACCGACGCCCAGCACAGCCATCATGAGGAAGAACAGCACCGCAAATAACTGTAATCCATTAATTATCACATTAAACGTTATGCACATGGAACGTTCTAGAGATTTTATTTCCCGCTAATTTAACGGACCTCCTAGTGCTTCAGTTAAATTTATAGACAACGCGAATGGCGCAATTTATAGTTTCTACAATATAACAAAAATAGCTATTGAGTATTACCCAAGATCGAACTAAAGAGAGAGTAATATGGTATGGTAGAATAGGGTATGTTTTATGTTACAACATAATATTACTACGTTATGTACAAAAAATATGCCATTTGTAAAAATGATATGGAAGTCTTATGGCTAAAATCGATTTTCCAGATTACGTGAGCTACTTCCTGATGAAAAAAATTCCGTTATTATAAGGGCAAAATGTAGATTAAATTATTAAAGTCAACGCTGATAAAATGAATTGCTGAGAATATGATAAAAGTGTGGATATACATATTGCTGTTACTAGGTCACGTAATTAACTTTGTAACTATATAGTACGATATGATATTGAAATATTTATATTTTATTTTTATTTAAATGAGTCTATTTTTTTCATTATTATTTTTGCTAATCATTGTGTAAAATAAAATGTACTAAATACGTATGTAATAAAATATTTAATTTACATTTGTTGAAGTATATAATATTTACAATTAATCCCTCTTTATTATTTTAAGATCCTTCATTTACTTGCCGAGGAATATAGGTACTTAATAAATGCACTCCCAGATGTATCCGTGGCCAGATACGACGAGAATCGATGTGTTCATATGGAGTGATGCGATCGTGGCGCAAATACGTACCTACCTAAAACGCGGTTACGATCAATAGAAATGTGCAGAATTTATATATTTTTGTATTTAATGGTGGTAGAGTGTACTATATAATATCTATTAGGTAGCTTTCGCCAGCCTCGTTATTTCTGTGACACAGTAAATACTTGTATCGATTTGAAGGATGAGACTGCTATTTTACAATGAAAGTTCGATATCATATAATATATAGTCGATCATTTTAATTATTTAATTTTTCACATTTCATGCAACGGCAGCATTAATTAATAAGTGATTGAGAATTGTTGTTTCACCTTGTTAACAAAATTCAGACGATATTCTGATCGCCGCCTATGATACTACTTATCTTGTTTATCAGAAGACTGAAGTAATTCAATGTAATTAATAGATAAAGACACATTAAATACGTCATATTTATTGAATACATTTGTATTGTAGAAAATTTTGCCAAAGACAAAAACATTCCAAAAAGTTGGGTATTTGCAATAATTATGAATATGATTACATAATTAGTAAATGAATTGTTACGTTTCAATCATTCACAACCGCATTAAGAAAAATACTAGTTTAGGACCGTTGAATGCTTAATGTCGATTCAATCCCCAGGTTAGAGCCTCGTGATCTCACCTGAATGTGAATCTATTATGACCCCTCGAAGTCACTAGAATAGGAAGGGAAAAAAATTCAAGTCAAAATTGAAAATCGTACCTGTGGTACTATTGGTGATTGCGCAATCGCATCTGGGTAGGAGATGAAAGCAAGACTTGTTCCGCCAGCTCCGATAACTCTTCCCACATCATCGTATCCCAGTTGGTATGCGAGGTTACCTAGCACACCAAAAATGGTGATTCCAGATATTAAGCTCGTAAATGTGTCCAGTGTTGTCACAATCATAGAGTCTCTGTAATCAAGAAGGTGTATTTAAAAACCGCGTAGTGTAATTTGGGTGCGACGGAGTCTTCTTTCCGACAGAAATAGGCAGAGTAGGTAGTTATATCTATACTGCTGTAGCAAAAATATTTTTTAATTACATTGAAAAAGTACGTCGTGTGCGAAATCTTGTAAACTTTAAGTTAAAGTAAACATGAAAAACATTATTTTAAGCGCAAAAAATTAATGTGCATTTTTTGTTGTTCATGGAACATTATTTAAAAATGTTACAAGCTCCTCATAGTTGTCAAAAAAAAAAAAAAAATTAATTTTAAATAAGCGTTAAAATTGGAAGTTGCTAATGTTAGTTAAAGTAGTAAAACATGAAACCTACATTCCGAGTTTGTTTCAAGTTTCAAAATACGAACCTGTAAACATTTTGACTGAATTTGTTGTACGAAGAAAACATAATGAGCGTTCCGGAGCAGACGGAAAGCGAGAAAAATACTTGAGTAACAGCGGCATACCATACCTAAAAAACAGCAAGACGAGTTTAGAAAATTATATAAAACTCAATTAAAAGAACAAGGTCTGTGTAAAATTTGAAGTATTTTCTTACCCTGACTTCAAGGATTTTTGACCATTGAGGCGTAATGAAAAACAGGATTCCATTACCGGCACCTGGTAAGGTCACAGCCCTGCGAATTAAAGTTGATGTTTTTTCATAAAACGTTTTAGGCGAATTTGCCTAAGTTAAAAAATAAAAAGTCGTGCCCGGTTTTTGGAGGATTGAGCTTACGCGTAAGCGAACGTGATGCAATAAAATTGCCCACAGACCTATTTTCAAATTTGTCTTATCTTTTAACAACAAATGAGTACCTACGTACTTAATTATTTTTTAATACCATGACTTTCAAATTTCTTTAAGCACCGTACTTTGTAATTGTAATCAATCATTTTTATTTTTGCAATCACTTGCGACGACAGGCCAGCAAGGCATCCCATTCTAAAGATTGCTATCATCACTGGATACCGGCATTGTTGAACATACTTCGATAATTTTAAGGACACCGTCAAGGCCTAAAGACCATTTTTACACTAAGATGCAGAGACATGCATCATATAGACATAGTTTTAAATGAAAGTGGCATGGATGACTTACCTAATCAATAAAATAAACATAACTACGTATGGGAAGAGAGCGAGAAAATAAGCAGCCTTGCCAGAACTCTTCACACCTCTGGCCACGATGACAAAAATGATGAGCCACGATACCAGCAGACACAAAGTGAGATCCCATAACGGAATTCCTGAAAATTTGTTATGTTAAAACATAAGTTTTAAAGTTACATTTGCAATAAAGGATTCCAAAATGAGGGCCCGCCAATACACTACAATACAGTGCTGTATGTTCTAGAGTACAGTTCCGATGTGTACAGCTTCGGAAATAATGTTGTTATATCATAAACCGACTTAAAAAAACTAGCTTACAAAAATCCTACTCACCGATTCCATCATCTATTCCGTCGGATTGACGTAAAACCGTCTCCCTGTTTGAAGAAAATTTAAACTTAGTACAAATTTCATGAGTAATTTTGTTTATGCTTTTAGTAACATGCATAACCACGCGTAATAACTAAAGATTTAAACGAGTTCTCTTTAAGGTTAGACAAATCGTTTATTTTTAGCTTTTTTATATCTATTGAAAGTAAACTGAAAAGATTTTTATTTAATATGCATTAGTAATCTACGTATACTAATAAACATATTGAATTTGTGATACTGAAATTCTTAGAGTTTGTATATTTTTCAAAGTATTAATAGTATGTATCCAAAAATAATTAAATATTTTGATGTTGTATATGTTAAAAGCTATCACAACTTATCAAAAGATATATTACAAAGTAAATGTATCAGATAACGAATTAATATATTTAATCTTAAAATAATAAGTAAATGATAATCAATTATGATGTTTTTATCATGAAAACGTCATCATAATACGTGCCATTATTAACATTGTCTGGTTATGGAGTACTGAAATGATAATTGCGTTCTACAAATCTAACGTGGAGATATTTCAAAGGAAACTCAAATTGTAACTAAAATGTAAAACTATACTTGAGACGATAGAACTTATATCTCTAGGTGCGTGGCGCATTTACGTCGTATATGTATATGTCTATGGGCCAGCAACTACTTAACACCAGATGGGCCGTGAGCTCGTACACCCATCTGAGCAATGAAAAAAAATATGACATAATAAATTGATTTGTTTATTACGCTATACTACGATTATATACAATACTAGCTGTACCCGTCCGCTTCGCTGGGCATTTAAAATAACATTATTATTTCTCACCCCCACAAAGATTTTCATCATTAACGCCCCCACAATTGGTGTAGGGAGTCCAACACTCATATAAATATTAGTTTGTCCATTAAGTACATGTATTTTCTACACGGATGCCAAGTTTCAAGTCAATCGGATGCATGGTTCAGTAGTAACGGAACATCCTTATAAACCACTGTAGATTTATATATTAGTATAGATATATGTATAACTATACCAATAGATTATTATTAAGTAAATTTCAAATAATAAATTATGCAGAATCTAGTTACAGAGTTCTGAATGTAATTACTTTGTGCATGCATCCGTGCCGGCATACAACGCATCCTAATAACAGTAAATTTCAGCTTGCAAATGTAGTATTCTGTTATGATACCTTGAGAACGGAGGGAGAGCGGCTGGTATTATTCTAGACCGATATCACATAGCCAAAACATATTAAAATGTAAGTAGTGCTTGTAATGCCTATAGACAATCGTATAGAAGTCGTAAACGGAATCTCATTCCGGAATCGCTATTATTTGATAAATGTTTTAAGCAGCGTCGTAATTTATGTTTGTTGAAAAACGATTGTTTTGAGATATCGTGATTGATGTAATGTTAATAGAATACTAATTACTCACGTGAAGTATAGTTGGGCGCTACTGACGGCTTCACCTTGTATTTCAGTAAGATTTGCGGATTGTCCTGAAGGCACACAGTTCCTCCACTCGGGTAGGCATTGTGTCCAAGGTAAGGTCGCGTTAAAGCTCACTCCGAAGTAGTAAAGGCAAAGGGCGATGATTGATACGTAGTATGAAAGCACGTAGACGGCCCCCAAGGTCTGTGCGTATCCAGTACCTACGTTATAAAGTACATTAACCAAAGTTATAAACGACGAAATTGTTTCCGTAAATTTGTACCGTTCCGACAGTGGTCCCGTTTTTTTTTACGCTGTGATAATTCATTAACGATTCCATTATTATTTTTTGAAATTTTTATTTTCTCAGCTTATGCTGGTAGTACTTTAGTGACATTTACGGACTCGGTCAAGTAAATGTCACGGTTTCTTGGGGTTGGCTAACTATTGCATTATGTGGTTGATCATATTCCATTTGCAGAAACTTTCGTACGATTCTGCACGTGTTTAATATAGCAGCTTTTTATTATTATTATTATTATTATTATTGTGTTTATGAGAAGACCAATTTGGAAATATGTAATGGGATTTTACGGGTTGTGCAAACCCATAGCAGAGTCCCTGAAGCAAGCGCCCAATTAGAATATCATTGAGCGCAACAGGGTATCTAACGAAAAACGAAGTTTAATTGATAGGTAATAATTGCACATTCATTGTGCACGCAATGCAGAGCCCACAAAACTTGGGCACTGAGAAGCTGTGGTTAAACAATTCACTTTTTAACATCTGATTGATGTTACTTCTCTTACGCGTAATGGTTGATCGTGCGTGTCAGATCACTTTTATTGCTTCTTCTTTGACTAAAGATAAGCGCTCAAAGTGTGTGAACTTAAAAATAAATTGGTGTTTCCGTGGATCCAAATTTTCAAGATTTAGATTAAATCAATCTCAACAATTTTAAATTGGACCATATTAATAGTTTCAGTTGTACTTTTACCATATTATCATTTGGTTTCGTTTCCAACACTTAAATATTATATTAAGATTTTAAAATAAAAACAAGTTTAACACTAAACATACCATAACGGGTCAAATGGCCTATTTGAACTTTTGCATTGAAAATGCATGTATCATCTTATAATGCTTTTGCACATTTGACTTCATGCCTTTTTCTTACTAATTAATCTACAGTTATTATACTTTTTTTGTTTGTTTATTTTAAGTAATACTTGTTGTATACCAGTTATCTATCTGCTATGGTAGAAATAGGTACCTGTGAGTGTTGGTATGATTAGTGTTAAGCAGGAAACGTACTATGTATGTCCGTTGACTTACCGGTCATAGCCGGAGACAATGCCCAGATCTTGACGCAGTTCCCGCTGCTAAACTGCCCGAGTACTGTTTCGAGGAAGTACATAGGTTTGCCTATGACTAAAAGTACTATTATGTATGGAATTAGGAAGGCTCCACCGCCGTTTTGGTAGGCGACGAAAGGAAACCGCCATACGTTTCCGAGACCAACCGATGTGGCGATGCAAGACATAAGAAACTCGATTTGATTGTCCCATGTTGGGCGCTCAGCCACGTTTCTTTTCTGTAAATTTAATTAAGTTCAATTATCAAAATCAAAAAATTCAAAGATTCATCTATTGCTGATACTGGCACATACGTGATAAGTAATTAAAAAATGTTTTTTAACAGATTATCCTCCAAAGAAGGCAATTAGTGATCAAATGCTGATAAATGTTGATAAATTTTCAATTACCTACTTTATTTTTTTTTGTTTTTACGAGTTTAAGACACGATGAAAACTTATACGCCTTTATCTCGCGTTTATGAATTTCATTTAATTGTTTTCGACAGTACAACTGGCGTCGAATAACACCTAGGTCGTCCGAGGACATGAAAGCTGTTAAGTGCACGATACATTGAAAATAATAAAACGATAATAATAAATGCGAGGTTAAGCTTTCAATTGATTTACAGATTTACAGATAATCTTGCCAACTAATTCTATAATGATGTAGCAAACTCTAATTTCATTTGTGGCGAATTTCTGATAGAATTTACTTCTATTAATATCACTGTCGCAAGATGACCATGAAAACCGGCTACACATTCACAAATTGTTCCTTTATTACATTGCCTCTTAATTTAATAGTACAAATCTAGTTTTATAGTTAAAATCTAGTAGTGTATAGCTTAGGCAACACAGCTAAAGACAACAAAAATATCCGAATGATATAACGTTTTATTTAAATTAAAAAGTTACGAATGATTTTTATTAGTAACCACAAAACGAAAAAAGAAAATGTATTATATTAAAATCGTAGTAGTGACTAGTAGTAATTAGTTTGAATAGCAAAATTCAACTTCGTTTTTTTTTCTTACTTCCACTGGGTTTTTTTTTACATATTTTATCATAAAACACGTGCTTTCTTGATGTTTACTGTGAAATTTATTTAATCATCGCAATAAAAACGTATTAACGGTAATCGGATAGCAATAAACGGAAACCAATAATTGTTGCCTAAACAGCTATTAACATGATAAGGATACTGAAGGACATATCGCACGTTATAAAGTTCAGTGTTGTCCCTTTTTTGTCTTAGCCTTTTTATGTTTTTATAATGTTTTATCTTTTTTCCGTATAATTTTACCAAACAATTCTATTTTTTTCGCTCCAAGGAATTACTAGAGACGGCGTGAACGTAAACTCCCTTTTTTTACGCTGGGGAATATATTTACTGATACGCCTCCAAGGAAGAAGAGGGAGAAGAGGAAGACCAAAGTCCTCCTCTTCTTCCAATTCCTACCGGGAGACTACGCCTTGAGAAAGGCGCGCGAGGCGCTGCGCGGCGTTTACCACGCAGGACCCTCCCCGCAAAACCGACTACCGACTAAACCCCATCGAGCTCCACCACTCCGACTCCACGAAACCTGCGGTACCGCACAGCGCGCGCCGCAGGCTCGCCGTCGCCGGTACCCGTCCTGACAATAGGACGGGATCCCATCCCCGGGAAGATCCCGTAGGACGTCGTCTCGGGAGACACACCGTGAGTGGCGCATAGGAGCCGCCTCACTACCACGGAACCGACAGCAGAGCACCGGGCGCTCTTGCACCCAGTACCCAACGGTCCCTACGGGAGATTAACGGGAGCATCGTGCCCGCGTCGCCCACCCCGCCTTCTTCGCTGAGGAGCCGAAGAGGGATCCCACTCCCTTTCGCGCTCCTCAGCCTCGCGGAACGCAATGACCAGGTCGCAAAATCTGGCCATGGCCTCCCACGAACTCTCGTGAACGTAAACCCCTGCTCAGTGAAATTAATTTCATGAAAACACGTAGGTAGTAGCTGTTCGAGTTATTAACACAGAACGCATAAATACTAAGTGGTAGATACTAAGTGGTAAGATAGAGAAAATTTAGCAAATTAATTCTAAATATGTAATTAATAAATTATTGGGAAACTATTAAACCAGCACACTTATAATGAGTATACCGATAAATTCATAACACACTTTACTACTAATTACATAAGTAAATACGTCGGTAAGTCTGCCCGGATATTAATCAGAAGATACGGGGTATATGAAATGAACTGTGTAGGTAACTGAACACTAAGGAGTCATTGTCTTCAGCCATAACAATTTCACCTTTGGTATGAAACAATATGTAGCAAAACCTAAATTCTTAGTTTATACTCATCTCTTCCTACAACACAAAAAAAAAATTGGACTCTTTCAGAGGAACTATCCAAGACATTCAATAAAATAGCATTAACTTAGACTTTTGATTTCTTCTTTTCATATTTTTAAATTCCACTGAAATGACCATAATACGAAATAATGTCAAAACACAATCTTATTGTTAGAGATTTAATTTTAATAAGTGACAACGCAGCTTAGGATTGCTTCATTGAGAAATTTTATTCAGAAACTAGACTAAATGGAGGTTCCGGAAAGAGTTTCTTTTTTTTTTTTAAAGAAGGAAGGATTACTGATGGCCCGAATGTCTTTCCAGTTTCACCAGGACAGGTGGGTGAGCGAGGAGGACTCAGCCAGGAGCCGGATGAGTTTCTATTGTTGTTACAGTATAGTAAATTTGAGTAGCTGTGATTGACGGGTGCAATCGATGAAAACGAATACTTTTATTTCAATTAAACGTTATTTTTCTTATAACACGTGCTGTGCGTGATTCTTTATATATTCCGTACGTTGTGTAAGTACTTTATTTTTATTTTTTTTATTTTTTTTTATTGCCCTTGCAGGCAGACGAACATACGGCCCACCTGATGGTGAGTGGTTATCGTCGCCCATGGACTTCAGCAATGCCAAGGGCAGAGCCAAGCCGCTGCCTACCGCTTAATACTCTCCACAAGCCTCTTTTAAAGAAGGACATGTCATAGCGCTCAGGAAACACCGTGGAGGGGAGCTCATTCCATAGCCGGATGGTACGTGGCAAAAAGACCTCTGGAAACGCACTGTCGATGAACGCAGCGGTTTCAGATGGATGAACTCTATTCCGATGGCGGGAGGTGCGATGATAAAAAGGAGATGAGGAGATCATCTCAAACAATTCCTCAGAGCACTCCCCATGAAACATACGGTACAAAATACAGAGGGAACCGAAGTCCCTCCGCAGACCTAAAGGTTCCTTTATGTATAATATACTCGTATTTTTTTTAAATAACTTCTTTCGGTTGACGAGCTTATAACCCACCTGATTGCGAGTGGTTAGGGTCGCTCATGGATATCAGAAATGTCAAGGGCCCAGTTAAATCGGTGCCTACCGCTCATTAATCTCCGAAAACCTCGTTTCAAGAAGGAAATGTCATAGCGCACGGTAATACCGTGGAGTTCATTCCAGAAGCGGGTGGTACGTGCCAAAAATGCCTCTGGAAACGCACTGTGAACGCAGAGTTTCCATGGTCCGTATCCATTAACTAGAAGTCCCATAGGGTTCGTAGGAACGGAACTATGGTCAAATAGAAAAAGTTGGTATTTCAAAGCCCCAGTCCAGAGATGGGAGCAGTACGTCACGCGAGGACTTTTTGTGCTTCGTAAAGCACTCGTTCCTTATCTTAATAACTAAATCTAAATTGTTCATTATTCATCTTAATTTCTAGGCTAAGCCCACCACTAGCTCCTGTCCTAAATAGCCAATCTAAGTCAATCCAAGCGGATAATTTCAGAAATCGAAAACTATGTACTGGAATAAAACTCATAAGAAATGGAGCTCTTCAATAAATCCTAGTATACATATCTAGGCCTCGAAATAGCTAAATAAATTAATTGTAAAATGACTTAAGACAATCCAACATACCTTCCCATCTTCGCTGTCGATAGCCTTTAAATCATTGACATTTTCTGGTGATGGATCAAATCCCGCATTCACTCGATCCCCCTTTTCATTTATCCCATTTGAATCCTAAAATAAAGTAAAATTCAAAAGCACATTTTTTCGATACACCTACATGCTCAATAAAACGATTTAATTTCGATGTCATTTTCAGTACTGAAATTGTTTATTTACCATCAGATGTGATTACAGGGTATCGAGTATGACCGCTTCGACATTCGCTTTGTAAGTGAGAGGTTACTGTAATTCTCTTGCCTAATAAAATATATCAGCGAGATAAATTATGTCGATAATTTTACAAAGCTATCTTTCTCTCTATCATTTGGTAAACTGATCGTAATCCTAGATTAAAATTTCCCTAAACGAGCATTTATTTAGAAGGCAATCTTATATGTTGATTTCTTAAAAATCTGTGTGTAATATAAAAAAAAAAAACAATAAAACGTGTGCTGTTTACTGCACACGTTTACTGTTTGGAGGGCAAAGAAAAATCACTTGATTCAAGAATTCACGACCACTTATATAGATGAAACTACAATAACACCATTAGTAAAAACTTCAAAATTTAAATTATATATTTATATAAGCTAGCGGTCCGCTCCGTCTTCGCTCGGGTCTTAAATAAAAATTTCAGAAAAAAAATACACACACATTAATCCTTATATTTGCGTCAAGTTTCTAAAAATAGAAAATAGGTAGTTTGAATATTATTATTATAATGAACTTTTATTTTTATTTGAATAATATATCGCACCTTCGGTAAGACAAGGGCCGAAGTGCTAAAATTTCTGAAAATGAGTTAAATATGCCAAAGTGCCTTAAAAACTAATTTCTACCTGTAGGAACAAAGACATTCAATAAATTCAGTTTATTTTCGCCAGATGGCAAAAGTGTCTTTGTACCATTCGTTCGTTTTTTGGATGATATTGGCGCGACAAAATCTTATTGGTCATTTACGGCACTCGCCCGCGCGAGTAGTGGTTGTGTACTGGACCATAGGGGTCATTAAGGTAAATATGCCCTTTTTTGTTATACATTTTGGAAAGACATGGTCACATTTTGTGTACATAATATGCCTAATCTGAGAGCACATATTTGACAGAAAAAATAAATGTCTTACGCATTTACTTGGCATTCCACAAAGGAATATGTGGCATTTTATAGATTTATATGTAAACCTTTTAGAAGTAAATTTTATATTTTTTTATTTATTTTAGTTTTATTTTATCATTGATAAAGATTTTCCTAAGAAAAAGAAGAATAAAGATGTAGAAAATAAGTAGTATTTTCATTTAATAAGTCATTTCAATATAATGTGTAACTTTGGTCGCAACTGCACATTTATTTAAATGTTGGTGGGATAATGGCATAATTGTAGGCATACCTTAATATTTCATTAAATAGTATAAATAAATTAATAACTCAGTCTTTCAAATCACATATTTATATTCACATGTATAAGGTATATTTTTGCTATAAATAAAATACTATTTTACATTAATATGGGCAGAAAATCACAATTTAAATCTATAAAAAGCTTAAAACGTCTCTCCTGAACATTTTTAAAATTAGCACTTCGGCCCTTGTCTTACCGAAGGTGCGATATGTTTTTATCTCTTTTTTTATATTACTATATGTATTTCTAATTTTCGTAAAAAGGTCATACATACGAAACAAAAGCCATTAAGTTTATTGAGTCAGAGCTTCCCTGTAAACAATATTTGACGTTTTATTTTTTTAAATAAAACAACACTTATTGTGGCATAATTATAATGGTCAGACATGCTGTCGCGACACTTTTTGTAAATAATTATGTGTTTTACAAAGTCATAGTAGATTATATTATACTATCATCAATAGATTTCGCAGCGCACGCGATGTAAGGAATATTTTAGGTATTTTTTTTACATCTTGGGTTACATTACTTTAGTAAGAGATTCCTAATTTGTTTTAAAAAAAGAATATAGCGTCACTCGGTGATGGTGTAGCTTCCAAACGGTGAAAGAATTTTTCAAATCGGTTCAGTAGTTTCGGAGCCTACTCAATACAAGCAAACAAACAAATCTTTCCTCTTTATAATATTAGTATAGACGTATAGATATGAGAAGACTCACTTCATGTAAGTAGTCACACAGTAACTTTTTTCTAATTCTTACTCATCTCTAGTGGTTTTATCAGATAATGTTTTCAGAAGACCACATTCTTTTTCAAACGATCTTTGCATAGTCTTGATGTCCATGATCCATAAACACGCATTAGAAGGGTCATATCATTGTCTGCCTTCTAAGGCAATAAAAATATGTATAATGAATTAATTAATTAAGAAAAATCAGTAACTAAATTTGTATTATAATTTTATTAATTGTTACGTATGACGTGACCACAAAAGCTGTAATATACATATTTGAAACGTCGAAATTAATAAACACGAAATCAAATCGTATATGTAGTTTTAATACTACTGAATACTACAATTTTGTTAGGTACGTGGAAACCGTGTATTTAAATTAAGGCAAAATGTATAAAAGCTTTTGCATGTGACCAATCCGCTAGATTTTACAGATCTGGACAAAGATAAATTGTGTGAATATAAGCCAGTATAAGCTCTACAGCTAACACTTTGATAATGCCGACAGAATGTCAATTACATACAACATGACTGATAAAACAGTTAATTCGGTTAAGTAACAAGTTAATACCAGTTTGATATGGAATTTTGGATTGGATTTAAAGATTCAAGTTGTTCATTTACGCCTTTTTTTTTTAATCCTACTTATGCTGATAGCCTTGAGAGGCTATTTCAGCTTCACCCTAACGTGTGTAGGTGAGCTCACGGGGCTCAAACCGGAGTGTTGCTAACACTGACCCTAGCAAGAGCAGTGCTTCGCAGAATCTACCATCGGATTGGAAACGCAACCCACTGAGAAGATCCGGCGAGAAACTCAGTGGGCTGTGTCTATGGGTTAATTCGCTCGTCGAGCCCTTGTGGTCCCTAAAAGCGCCGTTAATGGATCAATTTACGCCATTACTACTTTCGTGTTCTATTGCAGTGTTATTAGTAAATAATTCGGTTCCAACTCTGACTTTTCACGATTTTATTTATACAAAAACATTCGTTTTAAATATTCGAGACATTTATTTCAGATATTAGATTATTGTACTAAGAATATGTAAGTGTCAAAACTACCATGTCACGAACTTAGTGTGAATATTTAGTATGAAATAGTAATGAATAAATGCATGTCATCTAGATTTAGTTTTTAATTAACATCGTCGTATCAGTTAATGGCTCTTTTATCTATCGTTAAGGATTTAAGCCATGACTATGAATAGTTCATTAAAATTTAATTTGATAATTAGTGGGAATATCGTAGTAGGCATGATTGATTGGATTAAATTGGATTTCCAATATATGTATGTATTAGTTTCTTAACATTTACTAACCTGTAAATTTACAATTCATTTTCTGTACAACAGGTAATGAATTATGTAATATATTCAATTTATCCCAGAAAAATAAAAATGTGCTTTAGGGGAATCACGTTTATTTCGTTTTTGTAATGACACATATATGAAGTGAAGTGTAAAAGCTTATAATGTCAAGCTTTATGGATATCATCAAGTCTAGTGTCAGTTTCATACAGTTCCCCAAATAAGGTACAATAGTAGATTTTATTATATTTATTTATTGTGTTAACGATTGATTGAGCTCACGGCCCACCCTGTATGAATTGCTTGCCGTCATAGACAAGCCCAATGATTTCACAATGACAATGCTATTTTAATTGCACACCGCGGTCCCACCCTACCGAAGTAATTTTATAATGACGAACTATGCTTACTTTTAAAGAAAATCATTGAATTTTAATTGAATTATACTTAAACATTGAGGCGCAATAAAGATATTGCTCCAAGCGACATTCTAATGTATTGCACCAACTTTCGGTATGTATCACTTTTTTTTCTTGTTATATTTTTAAGTAGGCCAGCGGCTTCTTACGATGCCATTGTTGCCAACTTTTAAGTTAAACAGTTTTAGTAAATAGCAAAAAATGGGGATTGATTAAGGTTTTAGTGGACTTATAGAAAAATACGAGGATTAATTTAACGATATTGTTCCATTTACACACTTGTGCTTTTCTACAAAAGCTAAACGGTTAAGAAGCCACCGTTAACATATTGAAGCTGAAGAAATATTCGATTAACAAATTAAAACATTTCACTCGTGCTTCCGTCAAAAAGTCATCTAACTTCCTCATTTTCTGATAAAATGCTGGTTTGCATTACGAAACATGAAGAAAAAAATCTGAGAAATCTGTCTCTAGAAAGTGTTGACTTACGAGTATTTTTATCTAAATTAGTGTTTACTCAAGCAAAATATATTGTGACACATGTACACGTACCCCTAGGTACAGGGGCCGATTAGGACAATAATTAAGGCTAGAAGAAGGCGAACTGAATGGTACTTTCTGAAAGGCAAACTGTTGAATTACGTTCACGATCAAAATTTTGATCCAGGATACTGCGAAAATGGGCAGAAGTCTCCTGATACCATCAAACCTAAGTAAGACTTATTAAACCATTAAGAGCTTTGGCTTAGGTATGATACTTGTAGTGTTTGATTGAACTATGTACTGTCTACTATTATCATATGATGGCGGTAGATTCCAGAATTGGACTATAAATGACAAAATTCTTCTTCGAACGGGGTTTACGGAGAGTACTCAGTGACAGACAGCGGCTTGGCTGTGTCCCTCGACGAGCGACGGCAACCACTCACCATTTAGTGGGTCGTCTGTCTACAGGGACAATAAAAATAATCAAGGCCAGAAGATTTATCAGACGATACATGTACATGATTGCAGTCTCCTAGTACTTCCATGGTCGGATTAAGTAACCGCGCTCACCGAACCCTCTCTTACAATCGCCCTGAGGGAAGCCGAAAACCGAACGAAAATGATTGTACAAAGAGCCACGAAGACCTTTCAAGGACCCGACCGCAGTGAAATATGTAACTAAGTTTTACTGATGGTAGAACCTCTTTTACTGGTAGTCTTGGTAGTCTTGTGAGTCCATACGGGTAGGTACCAGCGCCCTGCCTATTTCTGCCGTAAAGCAGTGATGCGTTTCAGTTTGAAGGGTGGGGCAGCCGTTGTAACTATATTTGAGACCTTAGAACTTAGGTATATCTCAAGGTGGGTGGCGTATTTACGTTGCAGATGTCTTTGGGCTCCAGTAACCACTTGACACCAGGTGGACTGTGAGCTCGTCTACCCACATAAGAAATAAATAAATAAAAACTAAGAACAAGTACTATTGTCTCTATCGACTGTCCGGAGTAGTAGTCTTTTACGCCATTGTCGATTAAGTCCTGATCCTTGGTAATGAGGGAACGATATTGGAGGAGGATTATCTTGATTATGAATTCAAAGTGTTTACGAGTGTATTCATGTCACAGTAAAAAAAACTTGTTTATTAAATATCGATCGAAGATATGATATTTTTAGTTTTGTAATATATTTAAACCATTATAATTGAATTTACTACAGGGCACAGTAGACTGTACTCTCGGAAAAATATCTCCGCCATTCTGCCATTGCTGTGCCCTAGCTGAGCTTTTGTTAGTAATAATTATCGTATTTAGGGCCAATTGTCATCCCATGGTAAAAGCAAGAGATCCCTTTGCAAGCATAGTGATATAACATTGTTGTCCTATATATTTCTAAGAAAAAATAATAATGAAACCATAAAATCGATTTTCAGTTTATTATTACAAACATAAAAACAATAACTATGTTTCTTTGGTTCAAACGTTCTTTAATTATAGGGGCTTTTCGCAAATACGAAATAAATGTTGTCTTTTTCATTGTAATTTAATAACCCATATACATATAGCTCACTTGTATTACCGATATGTTACTGATATACTGTATAAATTTAATAGCAATAGAAATATTTTTTTCTTTACTAACCAGGATGCTCCACATCGTTATGAACTACAAAGTGATAATAAGATCAATGATGATCAATTGGACAACAGTGAATGAGCTGACCTTTTTTTTTTAAATAACTTTAAAAACATTAATAATTATGTATTCGTTTAAACAAAATTGCATCAATTAGGTACATCAACACTAAGAAATGTCTTACAATCTAGTCAATTATAAGTTTACAAATTTCAAGATGCGACAAAACCTGAGTAATTTTATGAGTGATGTTTGTTAATATAAATCGAATATTTTTATAAAACTTACATAATACTTAAGTTACTACGATATTTATATAGTATCATTGGCACAATATCATTTTCAATTAATATAAATAATTCATTAAAGTAATCTTAGACTAAGGATTTTATTTACACATAAAATTAGATTAGATTCGTCGTCTGTAGCTTCCTATTAAACTATACCAGACATGCGTGATTCGTGAGGGATTAAGTTTTTCTCGTAATACTTTCGCGTCTTCCTTAAATGAAAGCCAGGTTCTGCGTTCGGCAGCTGATCTTGGACCCCAAGATTCCTTGGAGCGGAAAGAAAGCTTTAGAGTCTGAAAGAAAACACAGATTATTCAAATTTGTAAAATTTCAACGTGTATACAACAGTATTTATTAGGGAATAAATACTGTTGTATACATACACTTTTTTCTTTAAAGACAGAAAACCGTTTCAGATTACATAATATGATTATCTCCATTAAAAGCTGATAAGCAAGCAGAATCCTTTAAATTAGAAAATGAAAACAATTAATCAATTACACTATATTCTTCTTTGAGAGCACCCAGTATTCGCGCAATTTTTCTTCTGTAAATTTGAACTTCATTTAAAAACCACGAAATGTTTAGATACTTTAATTAAATGACCTTTTTAAACAAAATTGTAATTGCTAGTTCGAGTCATTTGTCACAAAGGCCCCGATTAAAACTTCTTTCGAGTGTCGACACAAGCTCAGAAACCATTTAGATCACGTTTGTTGGAATTCATACCTTATTATTATAGCTTTATAAATAACTAGCCGTACTCGCCCGCTCCGCTGGGCATTTAAAATTATCATTATTATTTATTGTCATTATAATTAGGGAGTCCAACACTCATATAAATATTAGCCTATCCATTAAGCACATGTATTTTCTACATGGATTGGTATCCAGTTTCAAGTCGATCGGATGCATGGTTCAGTAGTTATAACGGAACATCCTTAAAAACCAATGTAGATTTATATATTAGTATAGATAAAAAATGTGAGGTCAAAAACATTTACCTCAATGAAGTTTCCAGTCCTGTACTTGTACAATGTAAGGCAGATGGAAATCGGTACCAACAAAATACCCACGATCAACAACAGGTAACCAGCCACTGTGAAGCAATATTAAATATATAATTCTAACACAATCAATAGCGTAACTTTTTAAACACTAAACTTAAATAAATTTATTGACTACAAAACTTAACTAAGACGCGAGTACAACAATACACTTCAAAATGCTTACGCAAAAAGATAGCTGTTTAATACGCTTTTATTAGCTTCAGACGTATGTATGTAACGGAATCTTTGAACATGATTTGGACCCCCTTCAAAACGACGGATTAACTCGAAATTTGGTATACTTATTAACGATCAATGACAATTCAATATTAATAAAAAAATTGAAAAAAAAAGGAAAAAATTGAAATTCAACTAAAAAAATTACAAAATACGCTTTTATAGAAAATCCAACTAAAAAATAGAAAAACAATTTTAATAAATTAGAATTAAAAGTAGTGTAATAAAAATGATTTTACTATAAAAAAAGTGTGGGGTGCATGGTATCAGTAGTTATAAATATTTGAAGAACAACTATAAGTAGAAGGGTTATTTTGATAATATCCTGAAAAGCACCCCACGCTTTTTTACAATAAAATCATTTTTTTTTCGTTCAAAGCGTATTTTGTTAGTTTTTTTAAACTACTATTTATTTTTTAATTAATTAGCGTCACATTATGAATTGAAGAAAATTTCTAATTTATTGGAGTTACGTACCATATCCGGCCATTGGGTACAAGTAGTATCCTCCGAAGAGCAATGCTTCGTATGAAATCAGTGCGTACAGGAATACAATAATCATCATGGCTGGCGTGATCAGACCCCAACACATGCGCCAGTAAGGAGACGTCTTTATATCCAACATGTATTCGATGTCGAGGCACAGATTCTCTAAGCCTATAAATAGAAAAACAACTTTGAACTTTTTCTGTCATCAAATTTATTGGACAACGTTTTTTTTCACGAATAATATCTAATAAAATTAATTTTTATTATTTTTACTAATAAATATTATTAAATTGTATTAATAATATTATGATAAGTGGTTCCTGGAGCCCATATACATCTACAACGTAAATGCGCCACCCGCCTTGAGATATAAGTTCTAAGGTCTCAGTATAGTTACAACGGCTGCCCCGCCCTTCAAACCGAAACGCATTACTGTTTTACGGCAGAAATAGGCAGGGCGGTGGTACCTGCCCGTGCGGACTCACAAGAGGTCCTACCACCAGCAATATTAATAATAAGAAGGCTAAGGATACAATACAATTAATCGATAAAATTTACAAAAAAAAATGTGTCATCTTAGAAAAAACCTTTGAAAGAGCAAAAGTCTCAATCAGGTCCATTATAAGGCTCCCTCCTTCTAACATTACATACAGACTACTGAGTTCTTCATCAATCTTTGTTTTATTGCAAATAAAGAAATAAAGAAAGATTATTATTTCATCGGCTATTGTTTTTCTGCATTGAGGAATTGTATAAGTTGAAAACCTACCGTATATCCAGAATACACCAATAATTTCAACAATGGCGCAGAATAATACTAAAAACGTTCCACCGTAGTAATCGACAAGCTCCAATATAAATTGTCCACCCTAAAACGAAAACCAGTAGTTATTGATTACTATATTACTGTGTATTAGTGTATATTATACTATATATATATATATATTACTATATTACTGTATATTACTGTTATTATTACTGTGTATTACTGTGTAGAGTAATCAAGCAAAAACATAAATAAAATAAATTTAAAACAAGTTTTTTCGTTCATAAATACGCTGTATGAAGATTGTAAGACCGTGCAATGCAAAGCAAATCTCACAGGTAAAATGTAAGAACATCTGTTAACAAACAGCCTAAATAGTACTCCACTGTTTTTCTTGTCTCTGTATAAATGTGTTCGAGATATAGCAATCCTGTTTTCCTCACCGCGGCGGAAGTGGGGGAGAGGCGTGGACTTTCAAAATAAAACGACAATCATTTTCGGTCCCGTAAAACTGTACAAACTTTAATCCGATTAATTTAATAAATTAAATACAGTTCACTTTTATTCGAATAAGCCTTGTGTTCAATCAAAATATGAACATTAGAATTATATTGTAATACTGTAATGGTAACACCTAAGTTCTAAGTTGCTAATTTTAAATTGGGCGCTTGGCAACCCTCTCTTCCGTTCCAGCCTTTTACACCCGTGCATGGCAAGTTGTAATTTAAATTAATAAAATAAGAATAAACGCAAATATTCAGTATACAAGCCTGTATTTTATTTATACACCTCGCACCCAACATCTCAACGCAACGGCGTCAACAAATGTATATTATAATATATTGTTTAGCGTTAACGCCCGAGTTTTTAATAATCAAATAGTTAGCGTATAATAATAATTATTATTATAATCCGTCCGGGTATTCAGCAGCGGAAACGGATAATGAACCCGATTACCAATAGCTACTCCTCTTAGATTTCTATAACACATTCGAAGCAGTAATAAGTTCTTTTTAGCTAACTTTTGTCATCCAAATTTTTGCACACTTAGGTTTCCATTCAATTTAATTATTCGTAAATAATGTTAGTTTTTGTACAAAGAGAGTTAAACTTACTGGTGTGACGTAAACAAGTCCCACTAAAAATCCAACGGTACAGCAGAGAGCTGACATGAACACTGTGGGAACGTTGGGGAAAGCGTCCATCACTACAGTGTTGATGGTCGACAAAAGAGCCACAGATGAACCCACACCCAGCACAGCCATCATCAGGAAGAACAGAACGGAGAACAACTGGAAACAAATAAATACTTAATTTACCAATTTTTATTTATTGTTACGCTGGATAGACGAATTCACGGCCCACCTAGTCTAAAGTGGTCACCGCAGCCCATAGACATCAAACACGTTAATGCTGTCATCCCCTTGATACCATACATGAGTTCTAAGTCTCATTTTTTACAGTACAACGGCTACCCCACCCTTCAAACCGAAACTCATTGCTGCTTCACTACAGAAATAGGCAGGGTGATGGCAGACGCGCTATCACCAGTGCGTAAAATTTTTGTACGTAGGTATAATCCAAAGAAATCTATAAACGTTAAAATTTTAATCATTCATTTACCTGTGGCATGAACGTTTTTGCAATGGCGTCAGGGTACGAGATGAAAGCTAGTCCGGTTCCTCCAGAGCCGACCACATCTTCTACTCGAGAATTTAGTTCATTAGCCAAGTTGCCGAGGATACCGAAAATAGTAAAGCCGGATAGCAAACTTGTGAGGGTGTCCAAAGTTGTAACAATCATTGCATCTCTAAAATCACAAATGCGGTGATGTTTTCACGGAACTGAACATGTTTGCAAAGGTAGTATTAATTAATGTACATAATATAAATATCTGACTTAAGAACTCATTTCAAATAAGATGTAAAGTGACAAAAATACTGCGTAGAAAAGATTTAATTGCAAAAGGAATAAATTATTTAGAAAAGATCAATTTTAATTGCAGGTCCATTTTTTATCAGATTTGATTTGAAGGAAAATCATGATATAATATATACGAATAGTCACCTTCATTAGTTTTGTAGGTTGTGATAATTAGTTACAGCCAAGTCTCGGCTATTCTCACAATAAATCGGTAAGAACCTAGTCGTGACTGAAGGCATTACGTGACTCGTTAAAGACATCAGCCTGCCTTGATTTTATTAAACAATTAGTTTTGAATAAAAGTCACAGCGAACGCCTTGACACACTTGTTAATTTAAGATAAAGATCAATATTTTTATTATTATGCTCCAGTACATGTACCGTATACTTTTAAATTTGATTCTTGTCTATCTTATTTTGTTTCAAATTATAGATAAAGGTTAATCATCGAGTAATATTAAGTTTGACCGTGTATGTGACTGAAAGCATAAACTTACCTGTAGACATTTTGTTTGAAACCATTATAGGATGAGAACATGATGATAGCTCCAGTGCAAACCGATAACGAGAAGAATACTTGCGTTACTGCAGCATACCATACCTGTGGATTAATTTTTAATTTTAAGATGCGCCTTTTTCTATTTCACTCCAAAGGTTATAAACAAAAAACTTAGGAATTAATCATGTAATTAAATTATTAGAAATCTGCTAAATTTCATATTTGGTTTTTCGTGAATTAACGAATTAATGTGCTTGTCCGTGTCCGATTTGTATAAAAAAATATATTATGTAACGACAATAAAAAAGTATTCCGCGGGAATGAAATGTTTTTCGCGGTAAAAGGTAGCCATTGCCACTCTCCGAACCAAAAACTATCAATAAAAATGATGTAAATCCATTGTTTCGTTTCGAAATGAAAGAAGGACAAACAAACACACAACAAAGACTTTAACGTATATAATTTTATAAAAAATATGGTATGGTTATTTGTTGACTAGATTATAGCGTGTTTGATAAACATCGTGGGATACGATTTTAATTTTAAGAGCCCCCATTCATAGGTTATTTTTACTGCTTAGATGGGTAGACGAGCTCACAGCCCACCTGGTGTTAGTGGTTACTGGAGCCCATAGACATCTACAACGTAACCGCCACCCACCTTGAGATATAAGTTCTAAGACCTCAGTATAGTTACAACGGCTACCCCACCATTCAAACCGAAACGCATTACTGCTTCACGGCAGAAATAGGCGGGATGGTGGTATATACCCGCGCGGACTCACAAGAGGTCCAACCACCAGTAATTACGCAAATTATAATTTTGCGGGTTTTATTTTTATTACACGATGTTATTCCTTCACCGTGGAAGTCAATCGTGAACACTTGTTAAGTACGTATTTCATTAGAAAATTTTTTACCCGTCTGCGGGATTCGAACACCGTTGCATCGCATGATGCGAATGCACCGGACGTCTTATCCTTTAGGCCACGACGATTTATTTTGTTTTTGTGAGAAAAATTTATCTGACAATATTACTTACGTCTAACTCTAATAGTTTACTCCATTGAGGCGTTATGAAGAAGAGGATTCCCGTACCAGCTCCGGGTAAAATTACAGTCCTGTTATAAAGCAATCGGTTTTACTTGGAACTTCAGTAATTGGAAATTGAGATAATGATAATGTAGGAGCAGTTTCATATTGTAATGCATTTTCCATCGATAATCATCTTAAAGCACAAACGAAAAAGACAGCACGATGTAGTTACAACGTGTTATTTAATTATTGCGTTAATTTGAAATCTCAATTTTGTTTCAAGACCCGCTACGAGAATGCCGATGTGTACGGGTTCATGTAAAATTTCATAGTAATGCTAGTAGGCTTGGAAGGAAAGTAAAAAGTACAAGTTAAAAAAAAACAAGTAAATATACTTACGTTATGAACAATATGATCATAACGACATAGGGGAACAAAGCTAGGAAGTATGCAGCCTTGCCAGAACTCTTCACGCCTTGTGCGACGATGATAAAAATAATCACCCACGTTGCGAGCAAACATAAGGTCAGGTACCATATAGGAGCGCCTGGAAGAAACATAATTACATTATTTACTCACACACAAATAGATACATACGGTTACTAAACGAAATAAAATGTGATATAAAATAATTACGCAATTGTCAACACTGAATAAAATGTTAAGTTAATCAGATGTAATATACACAAAAGAAAACTCTTTTCTTTGTATCGTATACAAACTTGTTCGTGAATAATTTTTTTTGTGTCAAATAATCGGCATTTTTGTTACAATAAAAAGAAATCATTTTAACAGTTATCATTGTTCTATCAATTTTTATTTCGCAAGTTTGTGCAGGATGATTATGAGAACAGGATAAATGTTTCACGAAAATGAACTTGAATTTTCTACGTATGATATGAGTAGGAGGGTTATTTTGATAATATCCTGAAAAGCACCCCACGCTTTTTTACAATAAAAACCTTTTTTTCTTACACCGTTTTTAATTCAAATTTACTAAAATTTATTTTATATTTTTAGTTGGATTTTCTATAAAAGCGTATTTTGTTAGTTTTTTTAAACTATTATTTGTTTTATCAAAGCGAGGTAAACGATTTCCGTAAAACAACTAACATCAAAATAACTTACCGAGTCCGCCTTCGATACCATCGCTTTGCTGAAGAACTGTTCTCCTAGAAAACAAGAAATTAATGTTCTAAGCCTTCAAGTGTATTTATTTAGTGCATTACTATACAGTTCTAAAATTCGTGTACATATATATTAAAGTGCTAGATGAATATGTTAGAGGAAGTCTGAAGTGGCACCTGTGACAAAGAAGTTGAGAAATGCGCGTTTGAGATGATATGGACATATTGTGATGAAACGAAATGACAATGAGGTTAGTAAGAGAGTTTTAACTATGAATGTGGGAGGCTTTAGAGGAAGAGGTAGACCTAAGAAGAAATAGATGGATTGCGTGAAAGACGATATGTGTAAGAGGGGAGTCAGCGAAGAAATGGTATAATATGATGATTTTATGTAAGGAGAAAATATGTTGCGGCGACTCCAGCTGACTGGGAGAAGGGCAGGAGAATGATGATAGATTAAAGTGCTTACAAGAAGTAAAGCTCCGCGCTACTGGTGCCGTTGACTACGGTTCCAACTGGGGCACTGTTAGGATCCGAAGGCACGCAGTTTTCCCAACCAGGTTCACAAACAGCCCATGGCAGTGTAGACTGGAAACTCATTGACAAATAATACAGGCATAGACCAACAATTACTACGTAGTAAGATAGGATGTATCCGCAACCCAAAGCTTGAGCATAGCCGGTTCCTAAAAAAATAAATAATGACAGCGAACTTTTCAAAAAAAGACAAACTAATACAACTGTCACTAAAGAGTACCTTACCTTTCATTGCTGGTGATAAAGACCAAACTTTGACAGAATTTCTCGAACTAAACTGACCCAAAACACATTCGAGGTAGTACATGGGTTTGCCGACTAAAAACAACACTATGATATATGGTATAAGGAAGGCCCCGCCGCCATTTTGATATGCAACGAATGGAAATCGCCATACGTTGCCTAAGCCCACTGATGTAGCGATGCACGACATGAGGAATTCAATTTGATTAGACCACATCATACGTTCAGGAGCACCTTCTATATCTTCGAAAGCCTAAAAGTAAAAAAAAAACAATGAAATAAGGTCCATTTTTTATTTATTTCTGAACTCTGGCGTAACGACGCGTCATACAAGTTTTAAGTATATACAATTTGTACATAGTAATGTGACCAAAAGATTAAAATTGTTCACAATCTATGTAGACACAATTAAATTAAATTTTTTTTTGTAGCAAAGTTAGATTTGTTTTTATGTGTTTTCAAATACATTGTAAAGCATTTTATGGGTAAACAACAAGCTCATACATAGCTTCTCGATCGCTTAAAAATTAACTCAAATATGGAGTTGTAACAGCTTCCCTTCGGTTGCCGCTAGGGGCGCTGTTCCAACTGGTGTAAGTGGCTACGTAAACATCACAACGTACCCATTGGATGTACCCACCTACCTCGAGATAAGAGGTTAAAGTCTCAATCTTATTCAGTAATAACTTTTCTGAGGTTTAAACGGTAACGCATCAACGGACTTACAAAACATCCATTGGTTCAAAAATAGTAGTTTTACCAAGTTAATCTAGCACCACGAAATTCTTGAAACTTTTTAACCCTACAATTAAATATACGTAAGTTCATTTCTTTCATTTTCCCTCATTTATTGTTATCAGTATCTTATTTATACAATACGTTGCATTTTATATATCCAATATATATTTTTTATATTCAGGAAACGAAAATTAACAATTTGAAAACGATAATAATAATAATAATAATAAAATATAATATCCGATAATAATCTTTAATAAAAAAATAAAATTTTATATCTCTTAATGTTTGTCTTATCGCTTTCATTGGTTTTAGTACTCATCCACTAAACTGAATTTGTAATGTGCGTGTAATGTAAATTTCGAACAGAAACCTGAAGTCAGTTTTTTTTTTCCTACCTATGCTGATAGCCTTGAGAGGCTATTTCAGCTTCACCCTAACGTTTGTAGGTGAGCTCGCGGGGCTCAACCGGAGAGTTGCTAACACTGACCCTAGCAAGAGCAGTGCTTCGCAGAATCTACCACCGGATCGGAAACACAACCCACTGAGAAGATCCGGCGAGAAACTCAGTGGCCTGTGTCTATGGGTTAGTTCGCTCGTCGAGCCCTTCGTCGCAAGCGATGGGTTCGACGAGGACGGTGACCGGTCTGAAGTCAGAGATTGTTGATTGTGTGATATATGTATTTACAAGAAATTTCTGGGTAAAAGCTGTTAATTTGTTTTTTCAAAAATATATCCACACGAACAACGTTTCAAGGAAAAGCCTTGTTGAGTGAACGATTACTGTCTACCCAAAATTTTCTTGAACGCTACATAAAGATATTGAAATACATTTGTTTTCGAAAAGGTTATGATCAGAGTCCTGTCAAAAATCAAGTTGGTTTATTCTTACCTTCTTTTCATTGACTGGAACCTTCAGTGCCGGAGGAGGTAGATCAGGTTTTGTGGATCGCTTCGGCTTGGGTGATCCTGGACGATTCAATGACGGGTCCCTGTCCGTCGGAGGATTCTCCGAGGACATGTCGAACCCATTGTTCACATGTGTTTGACTCTGTAAACAAAATAAATATATTAGTAAAAATTTAAATAGATATGAAAAGTAGAATAGACAAAGAATTCTCTTGGTGCTGACTGTTATTAATCAAAACTGCTGATTTATATATATTAATACGAATAAAGCACTTTCGGATAAACTCGAAGGTTCGCAGTGTTTGTGCATTCACAGCATATTGGGACTCCAGAATTAATACCCGGCTTGAAATCAAGGCTGAATTATAGTGGTTTGTAATCAAATGATATGGTGACATCGATATTGTGGAGATTGATTTGTCTGGATTCACGAATATTCAGAATAATCGATGACTAACGGCAAATACAAGCGCCTTGCAATACATCTGTTCGTATTGTATGAATTACTTATTTTGTTTTATGATACTTTTAGCATTTTTTACACACATTTTAAAAATATCAGGTATTTTTATACTACTAGCATTTTATGGTAGTATACTTTAAAATACGTTTTGTTGTTTATTAACTTGATATATATTATTGAAATAAATGTAACGATAATCAATATGTGCATCGACAGTGATTAATATTTAGCATTTGAATGTTTAATTAAAGCTGTATCGCTTAATATCGCCTTTCATGTTTGAATTTTACAATTTTGATGTATTTTTACTCATAAAAACTAACAAACAGCAATTTTCGGTCTACGTGATCACAGATGTCTAAAGTGCCATTTGTCAATATCTGATAGCTTCCCTTATATTATTTACAACTTTATCTGTGTTAATAATACGGATAATCTAAGTCCCTTATTTCGATAAATTTATAATCTGTAAAACAATCGGAAATAATGAATGTGATAACGGTAAATTCGTTTTTGATATATTATTTTGACGTATGAATATTGAAATATTTTGTTTGCACTTTGGTTTGTTGTTGTTTGCAAATTTTTCAGTGGAATAATACAGATAGTCGAATTACAAATAAAATGTAGTTATTGGATTCCGGAAACGTTAACTTAGTCGTATAAATTTAACTTTCATAAAATTCAAGGTTCGTTGGTACGAAAGGCGAGAGGCGATTGCGATTATTTTTTGTTTGCACGCAGTTTATTTCAAGCTTTCCAAGCTCTTAACCTCCTTCTTCATTTTCAAGTTAATCGTCGCTCGTCTTGATTTATATAACATCGAATCGGCCGGTCACGTGGGCTCGGGTGTAAACTATTTCCTTCTATTCTATCAGCCTACAGACATAGGCCTCTCCCAAGCCTTGCCATAAAGATCGGTCCTGCGCTGCTTGCATCCAGCAGATCCCCGTGAACCTTAACAAGTCGTCAGTCCATCTTATGGGAGGCCTACCTACGTAAATATAAACATGCGAAGCAAAAGCAAAATAACAAACAGTTCAATCGTTGTGAATAATGACACTGGATCAAATTCTCAATTAAATTGAAAATGAAATTTGTAGTTAAGCTCAATACGCACTGAATGTTAAGTTGTTACCCGAATTTGTAGACAAACGCTAATGCGACTTCTTGGTTGAGAGAAAATTGAAAACAAAATCTTAAAAAGCTTTCTTCCTACCTTTCATTCAAAAATATTGCCTATGTTCTCTTTCGCAAATTCCAATCTCTATTGACTTGGGGATAATTGCAGATATTTATAGAATTGACACGGAAAAAAAGTGTTCTAAAATGTCAAGGCAGGAAAATATCCATTTCTTTATATAATTAGGTGCTTTGCTTTTAACGTAGCTGAAATTCGTCATTGTGGCAGTGACCGAATTTTCAAGAATGCAGACGATTCTTTATCTTTTTTTGTGGAATCCTAAATAACGTCAAACTTTTTTAAGTGCGCAAAAGGAAATTATAAGGCAATATAGGTATTTCAATAAATCCTTCGGCCATGCTTACGAGTTAAATTTAGAAGAGAAACTCCTCGTTTCTACTTCTATATAGGAAGGCCTAAATAAAGGCATTGTTGCCAGTAGTGTTAACGCTAGTAAGTTTTTTTTGTTTCATTATCGAAATGATAATGAAATAATGAATGAATAAAAATTATGTAGATAGTAACTAACAGCTTTTAACTTAAAATTCAATTATTAAACGATAATTTAAAATTTCACAGAACATATTTAAATAAAATTAAATCGATCGTTCGTGTAATAGAATGTATCTGATATTCTTTCAACAACTATTGATTACGATACTACATATTATCGCGTAAACTTTAAGAACATCTCGGAATAAAATAATTTGGTCCGTAATTACTTGCTGTTATGGTAGACATACCAATCATGGATTTTATATTTTTTTTTGTGAACTATTATCATATCATTCGTAAGAATAAACTAGAGAATAGACTTCGTATAAAAATCTATGACTCACCATGTTTATTAGCACAGAAGATTAATTAAAAAAATGTTTTATTATTGTAGATTGATTAATTTTGATAATATAATTTATCAATTTTATTAAACACTAAAAGATTTGCCTTTCCAAATGAGGCAGCGCACAGGTGCACTGCGCTAGTGGAACCACGCGCCGCGAGTACTCGAGTTATATACAAAATACCTATCAGCAACTTGACGACGTCCTCGCAGAGTTGCTGCTAATCTGCAATAAATTCATCGAAAAAAAACCCACAGTCATTCGTTTAAGTCAGATAAGTTCGCTACCACGCTGGTAAGTCTCGTCTGATTGCTTCACTGACTTTGGTATGACTGTGTAAATAAAGCCTCGACCAAGTTGATATATGCGACTCAATCTTAGTATCTTAGACCCATTTGAGAGTGGTTTTTTTCTGTATCTTATTTACTACTATCAAAATTTGTCTTAATAAATTTATGTTTTACGATTTTAATTGCAGAGTCAGAAAAGAACTCCTGCTTTCTTATCCATGTTTACCACAAAACAAACACGCATTACAGTTTTTTTTGGTAGTTTCATTCATACTTTAATCACATATAATAAATAGGTAGTGCATTTTCCGTTATGATGTTATGATGTCTTTGCACACCGATCTCACGTGCAACAATAAAACCCTGAATGAATTAAATAACTAATGTTTATTCTGCGTTGCCTTTAATTCTTTTCTTTAGAAGTTTTTATTAAATTAAGCTTACATTACTTAGATTAGGTAAGTTAAGAAAATTTTACATTTGAAAATTATTCAGAAGTAGCACATTAAAACGTTTACCAATACAACTTAGTTTACGTTCCGAATTTGCGATTATCAAGAAAATTAAGTCCGAAAAAATCGATTTGTGGAAACACTATAAATTAGTATTAAAAAAGAAATTTGAACAACTACTAATTTCATTTTTTAAATTAACACTTTATTATTATTTAGATATTTTTTTTCAATTATGTTGCATTTTTTATTTATTTATGCAAACCTTAAGGTTGGATTCTTCGTAAACAAACCGATTAAGGTTCTTCCGCCTACATAACAATCCAGATGAACTTGTTCTACGCTATCCATTGACTTCATATATCTCTATCTAAATTGTTGTATACATGTGTATAACTGTGTTATACTGTCTATGGTTATGCTAATGTTCTTTTATTTAGACGCATAGGCCAGCTGACCCTTCCAAGCTCAATCTGTATTATACGGTAACCAGAGAATATAACAACTGCGTGAATGCTGTCATAGACCTTGATACATTCAACTTATTATAAAATTCATTTGATGCACATTTACAAATAATATATTAACTAATTAGTTGAATCAAGCGATACGACTTTCGTTGTTGCAAAGTACTACTACAGTTGTAGGTTGTTTTCTTGTTGGTACCTTTTTTTGCTTGTTCCTTTTTCTTTACTGGTGGTAGGAGTTCTTGTGAGTCCGCACGGGTAGGTACCACCACCCGGCCTATTTCTGCCGTGAAGCAGTAACGCGTTTCGGTTTGTAAGCCGTGTAACTAAACTGAGACCTTAGAACTCATATCTCAAAATGGGTGGCAGCATTTACGTTGTAGATTTCTATGGGCTCCGGTAACCACTTAACACCATGTGGGCTGTGAGCTCGTTCACCCATCTAAGCAATAAAAAAAAATTCTACATTAAAGAAAAAGCATCGTGTAATAAAATCAAAGTCGCACAGTTTATAAATTTGTGTAATTACGGGTGTTATGGTGCATAGTACGCCACGTCCACGCGAGTGGATGACACCATTCTGCTTATTTCTGTCGCGAAATGATGTGTTACGTTTTGAAGGCAATAGTCATTATATAACGTAATTACAACAACGACCTCATGTCTGAGAATGGGAGGTGGCATTCGCGTCGGCTGAAACACTTAGCACCAGATGCGCCATTCACCCATTTAAGTAATAAAAATATGTATATTATTATAAGTAATAGTGGTCTAGTATCAATACCATAAAACAGACAATTATCCTACAACAGACAAGGGTTATCTTTTCTCTCACTACGTTAGGTACTTCTTTCACCGTTTATTAAGAAGATATACGAAATATAAATATATATAATATTTTTTTAATAATAAAATATTTCAGGAGAAGTTAGCCTGCATATTTAATAATGTATAATTCGTCGTTTGAAACTAGATTACTAACCAAATTTTCGTATAAAAAATAAAAAGCAGTAGTTTTTTTGCGCATTGCTTTGATAACAGCTAATATAAAATCTATTATAATAGATTTTATATTATATACTATTATAATAACTATAAAATCCACTCTCCTGTCCACACCGTCTAAAATATGTACACAAGTTACTAGCAAATACGATGGTATTAGAACGGTAACTACATGTTATTAAAATCGTATCAATATGTAAGAACATAATTGACGCCTCTTCGGTGTTATGTAATAAAACAAATGCAATATAGTCGATAAATCAGGCCAAACTCTTGAGAATCATCACTTCATCACATTCTATAAACAACACCAAGGTCATTTACTTTTACTTACCTTCACATCTACTGGGCCTATCCTCAGTTTTATGATTATGAAATCTTTTGTATATCTATTAAATAAATATATCCTAACTAAAACTGCTTTTACGGTATAGATAATC